TATGTTTTCTTTCAATCTACCAATAACAACGTTTTTCCATGTATCCACCATCCCCCTTTTTTTTATAACATTGAGTGGCAAACGAGCAAGCGGCCACCTGAATCTGCCAAAATGGCGAAGCGACCGCTGCCCATAGACATCCGCAATTGCAGACGCGTTGCCTACCCTTATACGACGGAGGGGGAGACGCACATAAAGAGGATATTTCTTCTTCCTATGCATCTCCTCCACCATCAAATCCTCTCCCTTTCCCATCCTCTCCTTATATGAAAAGGGTGGTAAAGAGAAAGGGATTTAAATTAGGCCTCCGGCACCACACTCATCAGACGAAACACGGAATTTCTTCCATTTCTGGAACTACACCACTATCACTGTTAAATGCCCCTATTTGCCACTATCAATACAACACTTTTATTTCTGACATCTGATTACTGTCCGATTATTAACATAACAAATAGAACTCTTTCATTTTAAAATTATGAAACATATATTTAAATAGGTAAAGCGTTTGATCATTATTACAAAGTTTATATTGTTATTTCCAATAAAGATAAATGGTATTGATTTATAGCACAGACTAAATAACCTTCAAGAAATACAGACTACATCAAGATAGTTAAAAAGCTAAAACTAATATTAGGTAGGACAAAATACATCGTTAATGCATGCAAGTACCAACCCCATCCTAAGTTAGGGACGACAAAGCCTTATTAAATCTAAGAGCATCTTGATTATGAGCGCGTTCTAACACAGATCACCTGACATTCCTGGACTACAAATATAAAAAAAGTCATTCAATAGGTTTTTAAATGTTCCTACTACATTTTAAAGTTATTATTTATCTAGTTTGGAGTCGAAGCTCTACTAAAATAACAGCATACAAAATAAAATCACAATACAAATAAGAGTAAAAACTAAAAAAGCTTTTTCTATCGCATCAAATTACAACAGTCAAAAGATCTTTTTCGATATACATTTTTTAAGAATTGTTATTGTGAAGTTTTTGAAATTCGATACCAATTTGTCAACCGAAACAAAACGCTCGTTTTACTATCCAAAAGAGAAAAGGATTGGGTTAACAATTTGGGTGGAAACACGAAAAATTTATGTTAAATGTAAATCTATATAATATGTGTATCAAAAGTCTTCGATGCCTTGACACGTTTTGGGCGATCGGAGAACTCGACAATGCACTTGTGGTCTGAGGGATTATCCCGAATATTCTTGAGAACTATTTCGTAACGTCATCGAGAAATTTGCATTAAATTCTACACCGAATTTCCTACAAAGTCTGTCGATAGTGTTATGAATAAGTTCTCGTAACAATCTCGGTAATAATCGTGGAAGACCTTTAGATGTTTACTTTCAACGAGGTCTTTAATCGAATAAATAATCAGGCGCCAAAAGCCCCAACGGACGTCGTTGACAAACGGCCTCCGGTCAATATTTCACGTAATGTAATATTCGTTCGCGCGACCGCCGCTGCCTCTGTCGCCCCGTGCCTTGTAACCACCATTCATATGCAAATTGGAAATCTGCTGGATTTGAAACTTTTTGTCGCGTCGTAAATTGCTTTGTACGCTACGAACAGTTAATTGCAAGTTTTTTTTATAATCTATACTAATATTATAAAGAGGAAAGATTTATATTTTTGTAGTTTTGTATGTATTCGATTCACGAGACTACTGGCTGGATTGTAAAATTTTTTACACCATTAAAAGATGATTTATCTGTAAGTAGCATAGGCTACACTTTATTATTATTATTTAATGTCACTCGGATGAATTAGTGAGCAACACCTAGAATAGTATATGAAACTTATGGTTTTACGCCAGACTTTTTAATTGAGTTCTAAAAGGAGGTTATTAAGTCTAGGTTTCCGTTCAATCGTTACGACGAGCGTTTTTAATCTTTTTTTTTATTCGAACGGTAGTGGTCATGTGATTCATTTTTAATGAAACACTATCCTGTGGTTTTAAAAGTTTAATTATCGTTCTAAAACGAGATACACCTTCAATTTTAGCTGTTCATTTAAAATCTAAAGTCTATAGCTAGCCTAATAAAAGCACATCCAGTTTTTCTATGGCATATTAACTGTCAAATGTCAAAAAGTTATTTGTAATTGCCGTACTAATTTCTTGTTCAATTTGATTTGTTTCAATTTTGATTTATTTCTCTGACCTTAAGACCTTCAAGGCAACATTTTTTTTTTATTAAAATTAAATATATGGCCATCTGTAAAAAATGTATATAATACCGAAATTTAGGACTTTTAGAAATTTAGGACTTAGAATTTAGGACTTAGGGAAAGATAGGGACTTATGGAAAAGGTTGGAAGAGGCCTATATCCAGAATGGGGTCCAGTTACTGGAATAAAAAGGCTAAAGAAAAATGAAAAGAAATGCGAAATTAATAAATGTAACATTTTTTTAACGCAATGAATATATTTTCTCGCAGCTACAACAATATTATGAAACCTTATCCTCCGTGAAATTTTATTTATGTTTCCTACCTTCTTAACGGAGTCAAATATGCGAAATGAATCCATATAATGTTATTTAAAGAAATATTTAACAATTTGCCCCAAATTCGTATATTGCGGTATACTTCCCGTTATAAAAAAAAAAAAAAAAACATAGCTAATACAAAAACCTTAATAGAATAAAAGAGTTCTTTTTTAGCTGCCAGTTTTAAAAAAGATGACATTGAAATACAAGAAATGGTAAAATGAAAATGTGTTTGTAGTTTGAAATTTATTGGTTTAATTTACTAATTATAATATCCCGTTTAAATTAATTATTTTTGTTACATGATGTAAGAAATAATTATATAACGCCATCTCTGGTACGGAGGCTGTATTAGATTACAAGATGAGGTTCTACGTCCAGACTGAATGGTATGAAATTTTCACAGCAATTGGAAAATTTACGCACGTTTCCTATGCAATAAACATTTACATCAGTCTATGCTTAAAGCACATTAACTGCAATCACAAATTATAAGTCAAAGTTACATAAAAACAAATCGCATACTTAATTCAACTAATTTTTAAAAAATTGTAGAGTTATCAAAATGGTAAAAAGGTTGATTTGAGATATTTTAGGCCAGTAAAAAATTATTGTAATTTGTAAAAATATATCATAAATGTAAGAATAGCAAAAGGGGTTATGGAGACGCCGAGTTTCGATCCCGGTACCTCTCGCATGCTAAGCAAGCGCTCTGCCAATTGAGCTACGTCCCCGTTTAATTATGCTCTGAATACCACCATGATATACCAGAAATTCAGAACTTATATGCCATTTATTTCATTTAATTAACCATATTAATAATATATTTTAACCATAAAATATATATTTCAATTACTTCACAGCATAAGTAAGTTTTAGTCAATTGATAAAAGAAAATTATGCTTTAAACGAATAAAGTGTATCTTGTCGGTTTTCTTTGATAATTATGTGCTTTAATGTAATAATGTCCATGATTTAACTGTAAAATGAGGACATTTTTACTACCTTTATTAATAAAAACTTATTACTATTAATAATTAAGCAAATCTGACATTAAATAACTAGGTGTAGAACCAGATAGGCAAGGATTTACAAAAACAATGTAATTCCGAACGCCATGTTCTAGTATAGAATAAAAATAATATATTAATTAACTAGCTTTCGCCCGCGTCTCCGTCTGCGTGGTATTATAAAAAAACAAAAGTAAGTAGCCTATGTGTTTTTCCGACTATGCTTTAAATCTGTGCCAAATTTCATCCATATCCGTTTACCCACTTAGGCTACAAATTCTAACAAACATCCATCCATCCATTCAACTTAACTTTTACATTTATAATATTAATAAGATTACAAATATTTTAACTATATCTCTCATTGCATTATAGAGACTGAAGTACGCTGGTGGTGGTCAGTTATTGGACTTCCGTCCACCCTCCGTCTGGGAGGATCGATCGAGGCTTTAGGTTTTAATTAAACAGCCTTTATATGCTTTACCTGTACCGTAATAAATGAAAGTAAAAAAGGAAATTGGAAAACATTTTGTTAACAAAGCTTCTAAGGTGTCTAATACAATGAAAACATAGGCTAAATTTCTTTGCTATTGTTTCAATGTATGAATGGTATTGACATAATCTTACTTCTTACTAATGTTACTAATCTTACTAATATTATAAATGCTAAAGTTTAGATGGATGGACGGATGGATGTTTGTTAGAGTTTGTAGCCTAAACGGCTGAACGGATTTCGATGAAATTTGGCATAGATGTAGAAAATAGTCTGGAAGAACACATAGGCTTTTCCCTTTGGTTTTTTTCAATACCACGCGGACGGAGTCGCAGTCAATACTTTACATATTGTTTACTTCGCGTTCGAACGCTGCTACGCGTCTGCTACACTGTGCTACGCGCTACACGATCCGACATCCGTTAACTAACCCATACTTTTGTCCCTAATAGTTTTTACTGTTTTAATAATAATTTATTTTTGTATTAATTACGTAGGTGAAAGTCTAATTTGTTTATTCTTGTACTGTATGTTTAAAATTTAGTCGACAAAGTAACAAAACCAACCACGAAGAAAAATATTTAACTACTCCGGCATACATAAATAATATGTGTAAAGACAAATTTCTTAAAACCCTTAATTTTGATTATCATAAAACCAATGATATCAAAATCTATTTATTACAAAGAAGCCTTCTATATACTGAAACGTACGTTATGTAACATTTAAAACTATATTAACTAGGCAAGGCTTTCCACTAACGAAACACTCGCATGAGATCATATATTAACTATCTCTTTCTTTTTTAAGTAACCCAAGAAGGCCTTATGTTTTACACAGTTGTCTCATCAATGGAAACACACTATACATACCTCGAGTTAGGAAAAGCTTTTGTGGGAAAGAAACGTTCGGGTTTCATTCGAGCGAAAGCTCGTGTATCATCGGCTACAAACATCTGCTACTATTCATTTTTTCATTACTTAGCAGCATGCAGCCGTGGCCTAGCGTTTAAGGCGTTTGACTAAAAATCAGATTCCCTTTGGGAGCGCAGGTTCAATTCCTGCCGACTGCGATCTTATTTTGCTTACTTTTTTAATTTTTGTTTATCTTTTTCTTATCTAATCATGTTTATACAAATTAACTCTACCATTTAAATATATTTCTATCAATTATTCATTTTGTTCTACATACACAAAAAGTATAGAACTAAATTCGTTGTCAATCAGTGTCATATGTCACATTCGCTGTATTTCGTAGCACTGCTACAAACTTGCTACGACAGTAGATTACAGTGCTACGAAGAAATGTATCAACACAAACAAAATACGCCATATTTTTTATGATATTCATGAAGCGAAGGAAATTCGTATCTAGTTTAAGCATATTTTAACTCGTTTCCATACAATTGCTAAATATAGCAAAATTCTTATTAAAGTTGCTCGTAAAGGCATTGTCAGTGGAAATGGGAAGTGTGGAGTAGTGCATTTAGTGCGTTGTTTTTTGCAGCATTCTTTAAATGTCGTTCGGGTTTCATTCGGGCGGATGTTCGTGTATTATCGGCTACAAGTCTTTGCTACTATCCAATATTTCATTATTCAACAACAAGCAGTTGTGGCCGAGCGGTTAAGGCGTTTGACTAGAAATCAGATTCCCTCTGGGAGCGCAGGTTCAAATCCTGCCGACTGCGAACTTATTTTGCCTTAATTATATTATTTTTTTATTTTTCAAACCCAAAACCTTATAATAATTAAGTTACAGAGTTCTGCTATTTAATTATCACTACAAAATTTACCTTTATCATTTAAACAATTTGATATCAACTACAATTTTCAATTCAATTTTTCTTCTTTAAAATTCAATCAATTCAATAGTAATAAACTAATTTCGTTGACAATCTGTTAAAATGAGTCCATACACCATATGTCTACGCCACATCGTGTAGCTCTGCTATACATTTACACGAATACTGGTTATAGTGCTACGAAGAAAGGTATTGATAAAAAGTGGTAGCGTCGATAAGAAACGTCTTTCATTTCCCTGATATTCACAAAGCAAAAGTAGAGGAGTATTATAACTATTTTAAACAAAATTTTACACAAGTTTGACATCGCCAACAGCAATCTGTACCAAATCGTCAATTCACTCAGTAAAATGTTGTTGCAGTATAGCTTTCTTTCAATGTCGTTCGGGTTTTTTTCGGGCAAAAGTTCGTGTATCATCGGCTACAAATCTCAGCTACTATTCTATCTTTCATTACTTATCAGCAAGCAGTCGTGGCTGAGCGGTTAAGGCGTTTGACTAGAAATCAAATTCCCTCTGGGAGCGCAGGTTCAAATCCTGCCGACTGCGAAGTTGATTTATCTTTTTAGATTAATTTTTATATACGCTAAAAATTTTGAAAAACTTGTTTATCATTTCCTTCTCCATATTCCATATAGTTACAGTCGGCGCTTAGGGTTTTTTAAATTTAATTTTAATAACAGAAAACATTGTTAATATAACATGTATGGACTTTATTTACTTTAGCTCTGCTCCACATAAGCTACGTAACATACCGAATGCTACGAAGAAATGTACGGAATAAAGTTGTAGTGTCGTCGAAGTACGATAAAAATGATCGTGTTTTTTACGAAGGTAGGATAAATAAAAGCACGTATAAACTCCGGCTATGTGCGACATGTAGTTCGACATTTCGCTTGACGTGCAATGCCAATCGACGGTTGGACGTTGTATATGCTACGTCAACATGTGCTACGTAATACTGCTACGAGAATGTAGAGCACGCTAGAAGCCAATAGCACTGAGTTAACGTTTTCATACGTTAGAATTAGATACACATTTAACATTGAAACTGCTTGTGAATTGTAAAGATTTTGTCGTCTTCTATTTTTCGTAAGATTTATATGTTTTATGTTTAATTATATGGTCTTTTTGTAATCTAGAGGACGGAAATAGTTACACGTGTAATTTAGATTTATAAAAAGGACTGCAACGCAAAAAAATTACAAAACAAGTCGATTATAGGATTTTAACATTGGTACTAAGGTCGTTATAGCAGTATAAGTAGTGATTAATTTTACTTAAATAAATAACATTTTGAAGTAGTCTCGGTAAATAGAGATATATTTTTTCTTTGAATTGTTTAGAATTTGTGTAGACAACGAACTGACTACTACCGTTACAAGCATTGGACTCTGTAGCCGTTTTTAAATTTAACAAAATTTTATAATAAATTACTAAGATAAATTGTAAAACGTAAAAAAAAGATTCATGGCAATTGCGAGTCAGCTAAGCATTAGTCAAATTTATCTGTAGCGCTGTAGCGCTTGCTTGCAAAGGTTAACGGGCTCTCATAATTTAAATCTAACATAACGTATTAAAAAATATATATTCCTGAGTATCGCATTAATGTTACAATTATAAATCTTAAAATTATCATTTAACAAGATAAATTATCTTCATTTTACAAAAGAAAAATTGTTTTTGAGAAACTTCAAGTAAATTTGTGTCATTAATTAATACTGCATATACAATTTGAATGATCACTGTAAAAGATAAAGAACCTTAAAAAAACTAGATTTTGCCCTATGCATTTCTTCCGATGACGCTCGGGTTTTATTCGGGCGGAAGTTCGTGTATCATCGTTTAGAAATTTATGTTACTATTAGGGATTTCGTTAATCGGTACTAAGCAGTTGTGGCCGAGCGGTTAAGGCGTTTGACTAGAAATCAGATTCCCTCTGGGAGCGCAGGTTCAAATCCTGCCGACTGCGAACTTATTTTGCTTGCTATCTGAATTTCATTTACCTTTTTCTTTTAAAACATTTTTTTATAAGTTATAAGTTTGTTTTAAGTTTAACTTCACCAATAAAACAACTTTCTGTAAACTATTAGTTTTGTTTAAAATAACTAAATAAATATTTAACTAATTTAGTTGCCAATTAATCATATATCGTTGCACTATCGCGTGGCTCTGCTACGCAAATGCTACGACATTAGATTACAGTGCTACGAAGAAATGTATCAAGCAAACAAAAAACCCCAAATTACTCTATGGTATTCATAAAGCGAAAGATGAGATGTACATATCTACTTTAAACAAATTTTAACCCGTTCACATACGAGCCAGAAATCAATGGACGGGATAAATAAGACAAAACTTTTGTTAAAATAGATTGTTTTTTTGTCAGTGGAAACGGAGGTGTGCGGTTGTCCTTTTAGTGCATTGTTTTTGAACAATTCTAGAAATGTTGTTCGGGTTTTATTCGGCTGATGTTCGGGTATTATCGACTACAAATCTCTGCTACTGTCTATTATTTCACTATTTTGTAGCAGGCAGTTGTGGCCGAGCGGTTAAGGCGTTTGACTAGAAATCAGATTCCCTCTGGGAGCGCAGGTTCAAATCCTGCCGACTGCGGACTTATTTTGCTTGCTATCTTTATTTTTATTTATCTATCTCTCTAAAACAAACAAGTTCTTTAGTTATGTTTATGAAAATTGACTCAACCATTTGAATAACTCTCAACTAACTACCCCTTTTTTTCTACTCAGAAAAGTTTGGAACTAGTTTCGTTGTCAATCAGTGTCAATAAGTCTTTGCACTACACATATTCCCTCTATTTCGTAACTCTGCTACACATTTGCTACGACAGTAGATTACAGTGCTACGAAGAAATGTACCAACACAAACAAAATACGCCATATTTTTTATGATATTTATGAAGCGAAGGAAAAAACGTATCTAGTTTGAACAAATATTAACCCGTTCCCATACAAGGAAAAATATAACAAAACCTGTTAAAGTTGCTTGTGAAATCTTTGTCAGTGGAAACGAAGGTATGCAGTAGTGTATTTAGTGCGTTTTTTTTTTGCAGCGTTCTTTAAATGTCGTTCGGGTTTCATTCGGGCCGATGTTCGTGTATCATCGGCTACAATTCTATATTTCACTTTTTAATAGCAGGCAGTTGTGGCCGAGCGGTTAAGGCGTTTGACTAGAAATCAGATTCCCTCTGGGAGCGCAGGTTCAAATCCTGCCGACTGCGAATTTATTTTGCCTTAATTACATAACATTTTTTTTAAACCCAATTTATTACTGAGTTGCAAAGTTCTGCTCTTTAGTTTACCTTTATCATTTGAACAATTTGCTATCAACTACACGTTTTGTACTGAATACATTCAATACTACTAAACTAATTTTGTTGTCAATCTGTTAGAATGAGTCAATACGTCATGTCTACGCCATACAGTGTAGCTCTACTATACAACTGTAGCAACTGCTACCAAGACATCTACAATGCTACGAAGAAATGTACGCGTACAAACACAAAAGCGTCAAACTACTGGCAACCTCCTCCAGTTAGAGAAGTATCTCAACAAGAAATTGTTAATGAAATCTCTGTTATATTTTCTCAATAAAACAAGTTCCATTACGCTTACAAGAGCTTTTTTAGTTGTAGACAAGCTTAATAAAATTCTATGTTATTGCCTTCCCAGCAAATAGATAAACAAAAGAAATAATGCGGTTTTACTTCTACGAATTGAGGTTTTGAACAATAATTAAATTACACTCGGATAAAATTCAATTTACGTCCAGTTCCAACTCATTCAATTACCTCAAGACATGGATACAACTTTATTAACATTTAATAGAATCTTATAAAACATTTTTAACACTAAACAATATATACTAATTAAACATTTTTAAGTAAGGAATAAACAATAAACAGAAATGCAGGAGTAATTAAAATATGGTAGATTTTGTAAAAAGACAATAAGTTCAATACTTATTCAAGTTTTATTTTTTCTTCATTTTCATTTATACTACCTTACTGTTATGTGTGACTTTCTTTCTTTTGATTTATAACATTTTTCTGAAGTATTTTCTATATATACTTTTACTTTATAAGCTTATAAAACCTGTCATTAGCTTTACTATCACATAATAAGAGATGTAATATGTTTTTATACGCCTACGCTGTTAGTATTTTAAATAAATGAAATAAATAAATGAATAAAAAATCTCACAAACAGCTACAACAAGGATATTGCATTGTTTGCGAGTCACTGTAGCTCT